AATTATATTTCACAAGAAAAATATCCTCATCAACTCGTAATTCTAAAATAATATGTAAATGACCAGATGAACTCCAATCATTGAAATGAGGATCCTCTTTTTGCCCTTGCAAAAAACTATATTCATTTTACTGGTCTAAAATTATGTGTTATAGTGGCTGTCAGAGTAAACAAGAGATTCCTGAAGTCTTTGGGCTCTTAGACTCGTTAAAGACTCTTCTGGTTTGCATAAACACTTTGGTGAGTTGAAAAGAAGAATTCAGTCGATAATAATGAAAAACCTGCAGCTATGTCATCAATATTGCTTATAATATTCATAGTTTATAGGAAACCGCTGATTTGAACAGTTTTTTCGAACTATACGAATGACATGAAGAGCCGATTTTGCTTCATGACAAATATAAATGTTTTCGAATCTGTTATTCGAGGAATTTTTATGATTCCATTAATTTAATTGCTTGCCATATACACAAAATAACAAACATAAAGTTTTTATTAGGATTTGTTTTGGCACCTAAGAAATTTTTCTCAAAATATTTTCATCAATTGATTAGTTTTCGTGTTGCTTTAGACGCCAATCAATCGTTGAAGAAAATTCTACAGTTGATGTTTATTTCTACACACTCTTTCAGTCAAGAAGTTGTGTTGGTAAATAAACCGTCACATATAATTGGAAACCCAAGTTACAAACCAAATTGCATTGAAAATATACGAGCTAACCGTATACAGCAATCAAATCTCGTAATTCCATTGAAATGTATATTGATTGTTGCCGGTCTAATGATTCTACTTTAACATGCCTGTTATTTACACGTAGTAAATAAAGAAAATAATATAAAATAAAGTGTTTTCAATGCATATATTCACCGAAAATAAGACTATGACAGAATGGATCAAAAGAAACTTGGCAGCAATAAGTGAATGGCTATAATAATTTATCGCTGAATGTGAAAAACTCTGAATTTATAGTTTGGAGTATAAGTGAAATTCTGGAGGTAAATAATTGCGAAAATATAGCTATTGAAATTGAAACCCAGAACACTGAAAGGGTGGAAGTTGTTGAATATTCAGGCAATATTTAAAATGAGAAATTGAGTTTCAATGACTTCGTATCGCCTTAAATTTCCAAGAAAATGACTTTTTTGAAAAAAATTGGAAAAAAGCTGACGAAAATATAAAGTTGTTACTCTTAAAGTCAATAATAATGCCACACTGAATATTGTTTCATCCTGTTACTAGGATTGAGTAAAGAAAAAACTCAAAAGCTTCAAGACATTTGACAGATGTATAGGATAAGTAATTTAAGAAAAGTGTAAATACAAGAGAATAAATCAAATAAAATTAGTATAAAATGTAACTTCTACGAGAAAGGCAAGTTACATTAATGTATCAGGGATAGTAATTTGGTAATTTTTCGGACACTTTTTTAAGACATATTTTTAGTGATATCGGTTTAAGATGACGGAGATTCGCAGGTAAATGGTTGTATAATTTAATTCCCTGATATATGAGTTTCGAAATTTAGCAGTTTTGTGACTAGGGAGAGCCAGTAAGTCGCTATTTCTCGTTGGATGATTATGAACCGCACTATGAGTTTTAGATAAATTGATGTTCTCCTTTATGTACAGTTTAGAATATATATATACATGAGAAAGTCAAAATTTTATGTCCAATAAAATATTGTCTACAAGATTCCCTTAGAGGTAAATTCAACATAGCACGGATAATTCTCTTTTGACGTAAAAATATTCTAGAACTATTAGTGGAGCACACCCAGAGAATATTATTATAAAATATGTGTCAAGAAACATTGCTATAGAAGACAGTACACAAGGATTCGAGTGGCATGGAATCCCTTATCTCGACTTGTGCTAAATGGATATCATTTTTAGGATTTTTCACTTCATCTGAGAATAAACAACAACTGGAAAAACTAAGGTTTTTCTACTCTTTTTGTCTAAGTCTGTTTTATTATATTCTTTGCTCTACAATGTTTCCACAAACTCTAACAACTTCATGACGATAACTTTCGAAACTAATCTGAATGTGTGGTACTTTCTCTGCAGTTTGGGGAGAGTAACCCTCGGAACGAAAAGTTTCCTAATTAGCATTTTCCCAATCAACGTGAATCCAATTTTTCCACTTTGTCTACCAACACTTATCTACATGTCTGCAAAGTCAACGTTCGTTTGATGAGAGAACGTTACAAAATCGCAGCGGAACGAATTTCTTCTGATTCTTCTTGCAAATCATACATCACGCTCAAGGCACCAAGAAATTGAACTCATTTATTCCCGTTGTATCACCTCCCCACGGGAGATCCTCACCCGAATGAATTTCAGTCCGATATAAAGGGACCTGGCTAACGTAGGTTTTGTGCTCACGTTGAAATAAACACGCAGTGCTTGTTGAAATTTGATAGGTGAGATGGCGCTGCTGAATAATCTTTACTGCTATGAAATATTATTTGCGACGTTTCATTGGAATGTGTTCTCTGCGTTGGGTTATGTAAACAAATAGGGTTATTTCGCGAATAATATTATAGCAATGCTCGTGTTTGTTATTTCAATTGTTATGTCTTTATTCTTCTAAACTCACGAAATTGCTTGTTCGCAAATGAATCACACTGAATGATAACACAGTCCAACACACATTTTGGTGCTTGCGATTTTTTAACTGTTCCTGAGTAATTTTTGGATGCAGAATGTAAAAACGTTCTCAGATTTTGTCTATCAGATCTAGTTTTTGAGATTTTTTAAAAAATTGTGTATATAATTTACGTTATAACTGTTATAATATATAATATTACTATTGACAGTTAAAAAAAACAAAGACACATGGATTTAAGTATTTATTGCAAAAACTTAATTCACATAATTACATTAGTCACTAATCACATAAAAAATTTTTTTTATACGATTTTCTAGAAGGAGTTTACTAGGGCAGTCTCGCTGAAGGCTCCATCAGTAGTCCGCCATCATGTGGCTATCCCATCGTCCTTGATCTTCCATAGTTTTAATATCCTGGTGGAATTTTTCCCCCTGTTCTTCACTACAATCACCTAAGTTTTCTGGAAAACGATCTAGGTGGCTGTGGAGGTAGTGAACTTTTATACTCATGTTACAGCCGAGAATATTAAAATTTGAAAGCATAGTTTCCACTAATTCTACGTAATTCTCTGCTTTATGATTGCCAAGAAAATTTTGCACTACTTTAACAAATGAACTCCAAGCGTTAGATTCAGTCTTGTTCATTGATGTGGTGAATTGTGGATCTTTAACAAGTTGCCTTATTTTCTGTCAGTTCAGGTAGACTGCTGAATGATGGAACGGGTATTTCTTCCGAATGCACTACAGGCCTTCTTGCAGAATCTAGATCAGGATATGTCCATTTGTGTCTATTGTTTCTATTTATGCCTTTGATATTAACGAGACAAAAATAGCAGTCGTCATGATGGTTCCGCGGTTCTCTCCAAACCATTGGTACACCAAACTTTAGGCACTTCCTCTTTCCAGTTGTCCACTGTCGCAAATGTTCAATACATGTTTTACATATGAAATGTGGGGCCCAAGATTTATCTTGATCTCCTTAATGAACGCCAAAATAGGCAAGATAAGCTCTTTTCACAAAGTCAGGAATCGTTTTTCTGCTCTCTTTCAAAGTGTATTCACCACACACATAACAAAAAACATCGGGGTGATTTACACAGGTACGTCTGCTTGTGGATGCCATTGTTTCAGTTCAGTGTCTTGATACTACAAAACGACCAAAATTTACACAAAATGATAGCATAACTTTACTTGGGAAAATTTGGGAAAAATAATAAAAACTTGTCTAAAAATCACTGACTGAACAATTCTTTATTCGATCATCATGAATTCTTGATAATGCTGTAAAAGGCGAAACTAGTCGAATAAAGAATTGTTCAGTCAGTGATTTTCAGACAAGTTTCTATTATTACCTCTCATTTATATATCTATGATATATTAGTAGAAGTTTTGTATTTTTAAATCTAGTGATATTGTTGAATACTTTTGATAATGGGCTAATTACCTGAAACATATGTAGGGATAATTGAATAATCATTAATCTTGATATATTCATTGAAACTTAAGCCAAATCTTCCATTTGATTCTTTCTTTCAAATCTTTCTTCAATTTTAATTTACTATTACAAAATGAATACAAATTGTTCCATTTGATTCACCTAGAAATATCCTACTGCTTCGTTCATTCTGTAAATAATTTTCATTTTATCGGTTCTCTGAAATGGAAGAGAGTAATCAAATTCAGAACTCCAGAAAAGATTTTTACGTTTCAGTTTCGTCAAGAGGGTCATAATTCAATAATAAAACTACATTCAAGTTTATTAACATTTTATTACTCTTGCAGATTATAAAGAAATATTTCTGAGAAATGTCATTTAATGTCTGAATCTGTCAGAAAGGATTATGAGATAAAGTTTTCCAAATAAATTTATGATACTTTTGATGGCCTATTCGGTTGAAGTTCTATACTCCAGATATAAATGTCTGGCTGAACAGTAAACTATACAATCAAATATGTATCAGAATATTCACTTTGTCTGTTTGCTAGTTATATTTTCTCTTTGACAATCGAATATTTCATCAAATGTCCACTCTCATTATGAAGCAACTGTTGAACCGTGTTTTGAGCGTCGTGGCTCTCATCGAATCGGCGTAACAATGTTAATGGTCTTGTGGATTGACTGAGACTGCTAGATTTCGATTTCTCTCTGGAATGAACGTATTACCTCCACAAAATCTCGAGTCTTGAACTTTATCAAACGCAAAGTGTTCGTTGCAAAAAATATACGTTACAAAGGAAAGAATGTATTGACGTTTCAACTATAAGAAAAAAAGAATCAGCATTAATGGTTCTGGAGCCTTGTTGGGTCTCATTTAATATGAAATCCTTCTATATGTACAGAAGGTGCACGTGGGCAGTTGTTTTTGCATGGTTTCTTCATTTCATCTTCAAGGTTTCCGTAGCTTAGTCGGTAGAACTAACGACTTTGGCGCGGTAGAACTCGGGTTCGAGCCCCGCTGAAGGCATGCGTGTTTGTGTTTGTCTATGATTCAAGTAGTTTGAATAATGGAAAATGCTGGGTAATGTACATCGATTACAAGCCCAATGGCCGTTCGGAACCGGCGTTAAACTGTAGGTCCACTGAATTAAAAAAAAACTACAACCGGAGAAAAAGGTATAGTTTCGCAGTTTCATAAAGCATGATTGTCATATTAGGTATACATAATTGTGTCTTATATTGTGAACAATACAACAAAATGGATGAAGAAAATATATAGGTCAAAATAAAGATGATCACGTTCTGGGCAATATTACCTTTTGGTCAATGGTAACCTAACTCTCGCTGGTATAAATTAACTATTCTTAGGTTTTCATGAATCACACTGGGGAACAATTTGTAACATAATTTCTTTTAAACTTCGATGTTTAGGTTGTTTTACGAATAAATTGCTATGCTGATTCCAAAACTATAATCAGTTCATTTCTATCACGTCAAGTTTTTTTTCTACAGTTGTTGCGCATACTATTAAGACGTTGTATAGGAATGTAAGTATCCTAAATTTCAAAGTACGTAAAAAACTCGTAGAAATGTTGGTTTTGCCAATATTGCATTATGGTTTGACTCTTATTTATCCTTGTTTGGATCAATGCTCCAAAATAGAATCAACGCATTCAAAATTCATGTTGTAGGTTTGTTTTCAGAATACGTAAATACGGAAGAGTATCTGCTAGATACTCTTTCAAGAGCTAGGGTGGTGTAAAATTGACCAACTATTCCGCTTTCATATGAGTTCATTCTTACATCGCATTCTATAGTCCGGAATGCCCATTTAGACTTTTTAGACTAGTCCATCGTACTCTAAATTTTAGGCGACATGCACATTCGGTTAACATTAGACATGTTGATACCCTTCATTTACCTCGGTTTCATCAAGCAAAAATGTCCCCAGATACAACATTGTAGAAAAGTTATAAGCGGAAATGTTTACCCTAATACTTTATTTATTTTTTGTATAAACACAATTTAACTTTTAATATTATAATAACCTTTGTATGAATAAAATAATCTAATATTTTTAGTTAATACCCACTTTTTTTTCCTCTCTTTTATGCCCATTTCGTACGACTTTCAGGGTAAAGAGAGGGAACTCTCTAGTTCAAAAACTTGACGCGACAAAGAAAAACAGAGACCAAAATCTAGTCAAAAACAAGTCACAGATCTTAGACAACAACATTACTGTTCCCGAGTGTTATTCTTCATTAAAATGATTCCGTGTATCAGATGAGGTGATTATATGTTTACAGTTTGAACAAATAGTAACCTAACTTAAATAACTTCAATTAATGTCCAATTTCTTATCGGTACAGTTGCTTGGAAAAATGGAATGCGATATATATGAAGGATGTATAACCTTCCCAAATATGTATAAAAACATGACAGAATGTACTTCTGACTTCTATCAAATCTTTCAAGAGTTCAATTTACCTATGATAATAATTATTTGTTGTGAGAGTTATCTATTCTCAATTCATTCTCAGAAAAAACTCAGAAATAGTATCGAAAACACAGTTTTCTAGATTGAGACATTTGAAATGTAACTATTTTAATTGAACTATGTTAATCTAGACAACATTGTGAAAACTTCAAGTGCTGGCAGTAAAAATTCAAGAGAAATTCGTTTTTCTAAACAGGCTAAACTTTCCGATTGATTACGATCGTTTCGGTAATTTCTAAGGAAATAAAATTCAACAAACAAATGCAGCATATTTTAATATTTCCAAAAATTTCACACCATTATGTTAAATTAAATCAGATAATGCATACAAATTTCAAAACACCTGTATCCTATGATTCTCACGATCGCAAACCAATATATGACCATTCGGAGTCATCGCCACCCCTTCCAACCCCTTAAATTCACCCTTCCCTGTGCCCCAGCACCCGAACGCTCTCAAGAACGTGCCATCTGGATGGAATATTTGAATCCTGTTATTTCCCGAATCCGCCACACAAATGTATCCTTGGTCATCGACAGCCACCCCGCGAGGAAACTTGAACTGACCCTCATCAGAGCCTTCGGTGCCGAACTGCGTGATGACTTTGCCATTGACGTCGAATATCTGGATACGGTGGTTGTTAGAGTCCGATACAACAACCCTATTCGTGTTCGAGACTGCTATGTAATGGGGATGTTCCAGTTGTCCGTCTTTGTTGCCCATTGTGCCAAATTTGCCGACAAAGGTTCCGTCTGATTGGAATACCTGTAATGTTAATTTCTCTGTGAATTCAGACCAAGAGCTCTACTGTACACACAACAATGTTGGATAAGAAAGCCATCAAGCATCACATATAAGCATATACGGATGTGTATCAACATATGTGGAACAATAGTTAATTATTATCATTGTATGGTTTCCTTCCTCTATAATAATGGAACAATTTGTCATAGCTTGAATGTAAGATAATATAATGATATATAGATAGATATTATATATACTAGCTGACCTGGCGAACTTGGAGTTCGCCCTTACAGTCGACAACCAATTAATGTTGACCTTTCAGTTAAATATAATTGAATACTGTAAAAATATAATTTAAATAAATGGGTATCAATTTTTATTTTCACTATAATTTAGTCGAAAAGATAAAAATATTGTTTCACCACCACAGTGGCTTCATCAGATGTAGATGATAAACTCCCATCCCTTATCAACCCTACGAAAAAATTCAAATATATAAAAATATTTAAATATAAATATATTATTGTGTACTCTTGGCAACGGGTTCACCTAAACATAAGTAGAATTTGTAATATGTTCAGTGAAAATTATAAGTGGAATAATTTTTAATTCATTTTTTTAACATAATGTCTCACCAAGAGATAAGCGAGACCACGTGTTTTTACGATTTCATAATCATAACAGTTGTGGTAATAACACTTCTGTGTTTCATATATTCAGATATAATTCGAAGGAGAAAAGATTACCGCTCTCAGCATGTCTCGAATATCAATGATGAGCTATCACTGGAATCACCAATTTTCATAATTTTCTTTGAGGTATATTTTTGTGAAATTGAATTGTGTATTCGAATAGAGCTCATTGCTGAATACTTTGTGAAGTTCAAGTTCACAAAGGGGGTTCAGTGACCTTTTATTAATTCTCGATTCAAGGTGATTTATACTCGCTTTCACTCTATCAATTTGCATGTCAAATTTGAACTGATGCATGATTTTGGTTCTCGTATTTTTCTGTTCTTATAATACGAAACACATAACACTATGTTTATGCGTATTCAATAGTACACTGAAGAAAACAAAGTGTGACAGCCAACAATGCAAAATTGATAAGTTAATACTGAACACTCTGTATGAAATAGAGATTTTGAATTTGCTGTAGAGTATGCTCTCTAAATTGGCAAGATTCAATCATACTCTAATCTCAAAATGAAGAAATAATGTGCACATTATAGTAGTCTTGTATATAATAATAATATGTGTTCCTCTATTATAGGACAGTTTTAAACCGTCGGTTGAGTGAGCCCTTATATATAAAATTTTCAAAAATGTTTGTAATTCGAATACTAGAAAGTAATTTTCCTCAAAATATTTATTATAGGAGTTTTGTCACATTTCATGATGAACTGAACACAAACTGGGAATAAGGTAGATCTATCTCATGTATTCTGATTTTAAACTGAAATATTTACCTGTACTCGATGGTTCTCCTTGTCGCAAACATAAATGAAACCTAAAGCATCTGTGGTTATACCCCATGGATAATTGAATCTACCATCGGCGCTGCCTTGACTGCCAAAAGATCTCAGAAATCTGCCTGATGGGTCGAAAACCTAACACAGAATACAATGCTAAGTTCTTTATGAATTATAAGTACTTTCTTATATGTCTGGTTGTCCCAACAAAAGTCCACAAGAGATTTGTTGAGTCAAAAGTTGAGAAGCTTTGGGGTTACTGAGTGTATGGTCTGAGCTGAAGGAGCATTCAGAAGACTTACTTGTATTCGATGATTGTATCGATCAGCAATGATGAACTGGCCGATTCTATTGACAGCAACGCCTGCCAAACAATCAAATTCACCTTCACCGTTTCCATATTGTCCAAATTCTTTGATGAACCTGCCATTGGAATCGAACACTTGAACTCTGTGATTAGAGGAGTCCGCTACAACGATCGAGTTATCTGGACCGACAGCGACACCTCGCGGCCAAGTGAAGCATCCGGCTTCGCTCCCCCTACTACCGATTTGAAACAGCTGTTGACATTTTTGCAGGTACTGACTTCTAGGGAAGGTACCTGCTACTGCGATACCTGAAAAACAGAAACCAGTCACATATTCAATAAATACTTCAGAACTTACAGTTTTCATTATGTTTAAAAAAAATAGAGTAACCTCTGAATACCTATAATATACATGTTTATGGTGGAGACTCACCGGCTGCTGCCGTAGCTGCTGTAGGGGTAGTGGGGGAGCCTTGCATGTTTTTTGAATCATCATCAGAGCTGCCCAAATCTGTTGCACTTCTAAGCGGTAGACCTAGGGAAAGTCTTCTCGATGCAGACGTGCTACTGGATGAGGAAGGTGATAAATTGGAATCCTTATCTTTACCACTCGATCGATTTCCATACTTATTCTTCAAATATCTAGCCCATGAACTCAAAGCTGCTCCATCTTTTTCCGTTGCGGTAGATCTGTCAGGAGAATTATCTTTAGATTTGAGTGCATGTGAGGAACGACTTCTCGCTATATCATTGCCAGTTGATGTAGTAGAGCCGTACCCCTTACTTGCCAAATATGCGGACGGATTAACGGATGTTGGTGACATGGGTTCGTCAATTTCTTCTTCTTCTCCGAATTGCTGGCTGCTCCTACTTCTAGCTAATCTTTGACGTCTATCCTTCAACGCCATATAACGGGATCTGCCACTAGGATATTTACTCTCATCATCAGCCAGGGAAGAGTATTTTGTGTGATCTTCATCATCTGGTGGTATTGCTGCAGAACTCTT